TCATCACACAACACTCACAGTCTTATTTAGTTTCTGTCTTGTTCAGGAACATAGATATAAAATTGCCAAATGAAATGTAAACAAAACCAAGTTGGGTTTATTCCAGTAAACATTTACACCCATTTATGGTAACAATGAACAAAAACACTTAACAGATTAGAAATAAGAACATCCTTAGTCATATAAAAGTTAAAAAAAAAAAAGACAACCTAAAGGAGATATACTTACAGGCAAAATATTTAAAGGCTTCTTTCCGGAGGTGGGACTAAAATGCTTGCCATCGACAACTTTCTTCAGCATCATACTGAAGGTCCTAGTCAGTGCAATAAAACAAGAACATAAGAGGATAAAGACTGCAAAGGAAAAAAACTGTCTTTATTCATAGGCAGCCTGATTGTGTACCTAGAAAGTCCAATAGAATCTAAGATAAACATAATTAACCGCCTCCAGGGAGGGCCCTGCCCGGTCCCCCGCGCGGGGCCGGCCCTGCACCCCCAGCTCCCGGGGCACCCCCAGCTCCCGGGGTAACCCGAGGCTTCTAGAGAACCTGCCCTGCGGCCCCGCGAGATCCCAGCCCTGCCGCCTTCTCGTCTCTCGCCTCAAAGACACTTTATTCAGACCCCTGCCCGGTAAACCACCCAGGTGTCTGCGCCCCCCGCCCCCCGACGTCACAAAACTTCCCGGAGGCCACCTCACTTTGGGGACCTGGGACCTCCAGGGATACAGGCGGCAGCCGTGAGGGCCCTTGCGAACCCCACCGAGGCCAGTCCCCCTCTGCCCCGCGACCGGAGGCTCCGCGTGGACTTTGGACGCAGCCGCGACAGGGGGACAGTGCCCCGTGCCCTTACGGGTGGGGAGCGGGGAGGGCGTGGGATGGATTAGACAAGTCCCGACAGCGCCCTGCTTTGCACCCCCGTGCACCCCAAACTTGGCGTGCTCTCCTCAGACACTCACTCTCTTTTGTCCTCTGCCTTTGAACTTGACTCCAACTGGGCAGCTGGAAAACTAGGTTTCCCGTTCCTTGGGCGCCGGATCCCCGCACGTGGGCGCTGAATTCAGGCCGCCGCTTCTTAGCAACTCTTTGTCGCCAAGGGGGTCGGTGCCTGCGCGCTGCTCAGTCAGGAAGAGGGAGCTGCCGGCAGATATGCCCAGGGTGATCCCCGGCTGGGTGTGGAGGACTTTCCGGGGTCCCCCTCCCAAACCAGGAAGGGATCCCCCTCCCAAACTAGGAAAAGAAGAACTGGCAGATAGTGGGCTCGCGGTAATGGGACCCGCAGGCGGGGACAGAGGGGCGTGGGTCCGTCCAGCCCTGGGAGAGGCGGCTTCTCCCTTCCCTCAGTGGCCTCCGTGCCCACGTGTGGCTGGGTGACAAAGAGTCAGCAGGGAGCCTGGTTGGGGAGGGCAAGGGAGGCACCCTGCCTACTCCCGCTTCCTCCTCTGTGTCTCTCCGTCCCTCTCTTCCCCCTCCTCCCTCTCTCTCTGTCTGTGTCTCTCCGTCCCTCCCTCCCTCCCTCCGGAGGCCGTGCTGGTGATTGGAAAGCCGGCGTGTTTTGCAGGGCGGCGGGCGTGGCAGAAATGCAGGCCACTGGAGCTGCATCGTAGGTGGAAACACAGGGGCCATGGAAAGTTCGTGAGGCTCCACGTCCCTTGGCACACGGCACCGGGCATTGTGTTCCGTCCGGGCTCACGCTCGGCTCTCTTGTCCGAGAACCGGGGAGGCCACGGCGTCCGGTTCGGGCAGACGGGTGGGTTGCGGACGCGAGCTCGTCTGGTGCCCTGTGGACGCTGCTGAGTGGGCATGGCTGCCAGCGAGCCACGTCATTCTTAAAGATAGAATGTCACCTCCCGCCCCCCCCACCCCGGGGACCGAGTGCACTGGGCTGGGCTGGGAAGGGAGACCTTTCCTCTGGTCCTCTTTGCCTCTCCATGAAGAAGATGCTCGTTCCTGAGGGATAACTTCCTGTGGGCTGCAAGGGTGTGAGGGCACGGCTGAGTGGCTCGGGTTCCGGGGCTTGGACAGGCAGGGGACAGAGACCAGACTCGTGTGCACGCGCCCCTTCAAACTCAGGCTTTCTGCAATCTCTTACCCCGACTCCTTTCTGTAATTTGGTGGAAGATGAGTCTGAGTATTAATTCGTCTAAAGGACCAAGAATAAGCTTTAAAAATGAAACCGACAAGCCTTTCCGAGCCGTCATGGTCGAGTCTGTTGAGTCACAGTGTCCAGCAGCTTTCGATGATATCGTCAGATGCAGGGGCCACGTTGGACTCGACCTGCAGCCACCACCAAGTGGGGTGGGCACGGAGGCCGCGCCTCCTGAGCATCCAGCTCAGCAAAGTCACTTCCCCTTACACTGTCCCCGGCCCCCCATCCTCCCGCACCCCACACAGGTGCGCACGGCCATCCTTATTCACCACGGGAGACCGACCCGCACGCAGAACAAACGCTAAACGAAACTCCAGCCTCCCCTTCTTTCTTTACGATCCCAGTACCCGCGCCCCCGGAACCTTCTGGAATGGTCGGGGTGGAGCCACGGCAGGGCTCGGCTCACGCTCCGGCCCAGGGCTGTGTGAGGGAGCCACGCGCAGTGAGCCTCCTCCTGTGGCCTGGCCCTTTTCCTCGCCCGCATGCTCGGGCATTTTATTCACCCGTTCCTTTTCCCAGGGGGCCGGACACGGCAGGGGGGAGGGCGCCCTTGTCACAGAATCGCCGGCTCGCCGTCGGTGACTCACGATTGTGACGCTGTTGACACCCGCGTGCAGGCGACACGCAGCGGGTGAGCACAGGTGTGCGTCTGCTTGCTCAGCAAAGCCCGTGGGGGCCGTGCCGGAGATGGGGCCGTCTAGGGCGTCTGGGGACGTCCCGCAAGCCCAAGGCCTTGCCGGCAAGGTGACCGAGTTCACGGGCGGCCACCAGAGCGTGCTGAGCGACGAAGGAGGACGGTCAGAGGGCACGTGGTCTCGGATGTCCTTACCCTGTGCTTCGGGCGTCCCGGCCGTGGTAAAGTGCGGGCATTGGGGGTGCAGTCCTTCTCAAGCTCAGGTTTTCTGGAAGAAGGCTCAGCCTGTGACGGTGCCACATCTCGCGGTGGCTTCTGTCTCAGAGCGCAGGGGGGCCTCGGGCACGTGTCGAGCGTCCTGTGATTTCACAGCCTGCTGAGAGCAGCCCCGATGCTCATTACCGGGGGGACGCGCTTTGCAGCCCCGTGTTCCACGATCCTGGTCCACGCAGCAAGCTCGATTGCTGGCCCCCCGCCCCGCACCCCGTGTGCAGGGACAATACTGTTAACGCATGTCGAGACATAACTGTAGAGCCCCGCGCCACACGGCATCCGCTCACGGTGACGTCTGCAGCTTTGGCACGGACCCGAACCGTGCGTGCGGCCACCGTCCCCCTGCG